TTTTTTTTTCTTGTGTATTTTTGATTTATTTTTTTACTCCTTTGTCTTATTGAAGCTGATTTTCCTTTTTGATTTTTTATTTTATTTTTTTTTGCTTTTTCATTTTATTATTATTTCTTATTGTTAACCAGAAACAAAGAAGAGACTTTTGTTCCACTAGTAAAAGATATAACTGAAGTATCAAACCATTGCAGTTTTTCTTTATTAAATAAACCGATACAGCATGGAACTCTAAGATTTGTTTTTTTTTTTTCTTTTGAGCAGATTTGAGCGGATTTTATTGCTTTTGTTCTTTTCCCGCCGTCCAGGTTTCCAAAAACTTACTCTTTATCTGCCGATAACATTTCACTTCTCACAGTTTTTACTTTTTGTTTTGTTGTTGATCGTGCGTACTTAAATCAGGTGTCTTCTGATGATCTGAACTCCGTTGTCTAAACTGCATCATCTGTTTAAACTTCTTCTATCACATGTTGGGACTTTATAGGTAGCCGGTAATGGACTTCAATTTCAAGAAGATTGCAAGTGATGCTAGCGGTTTTTTCAGTCGAGCTAAACAGGTTTAACTTTTTGAATATTGCTTTTATAATGTTACCTTGCAACGTTTCACTACTTATTTGTCTTAATTTCTATACTCCTAAGTTAACCTGGCCATTGTTCAATCAGTGAAGTCTGGAGTAAATCAGAGAGGTGGAGCGGAAAAGAGCAAGACTTTTAGGTGTCATAAGCAGTTAAGACCGTCAGTAATTGTTTATTAGTTTTCTTTTTCTTAATGAAGGAGATAACTTTGACTGTTAATAACAACAGACGACTTTCTGTTAGCTAATGCTGTCGAAGTACTGTTTTGCTAACAGAAGTCTCGTGTAGGGGATTAAATAACTTTTTAGGGTGAAGCGGCCTTAACCAGTCAGTCAGATTTAATAGGTTATAATGAAGTATCACTCGTAACGAACAAGGAAATTTCTTGAACTTTTAAAAAACGGGAGATGAATTAATTTGGTTGCTTGTCTTAATTGGGTCTTCTTGAAAGAAATTGAAGCGGTTACTAGGCATTTGGATTAATTCCTTTTTATGAAACATCTTGTTATAGTTATTATTTGGGAGTTTTTTTTAAGAGTATTGATCCCAGGAGTGCTTTGATGACAATTCTTCTGATTTACTATTTCAAGATATTGAAACATCTATAAGTTTTGAAGAAGATTTACAAGTTTTCAATTGGCGATTTTTGTGTGTGCACGGGATCTTGTTTTTTTTGAATATGAAAAAATAAAATGAGGCATAAGGGTTTTTTCTTTACTGGTGTTTAAAATGTGTTATTTCTTTCCTACCAGCTTACTTTTTAGTATACAGAAGAAACTTTTCTGAAGGCAGAAAAAACTGAACTTGATGCGCATTTTGAAAACCTTTTACAACGAGCAGACAAAACTGAGGAACATACCAAACGGTTACTATCATGTTTGGAAAGTTACCTACAACCAAATCCAAGTAATAAAGTTAACAGTCTATGTAAATTTATAATTAAACGTCATTTTCCTCTTCGCATCGGTACAGAATGTGTTTTTTCAACACGTCACTGTAATAGAGAAATTTTTCTGATCTAACCAGTGAAATGCTTTTGCTGTTCTGCAAGGGCTTCGGTAAAATTTATTTTATTGAAGTAGTTGCTCTTTTTTCAAATTTAATGAAAGAATTAAGTTACAATTAAATAAACCGAAGCTCAGTCACCTGTTTAATATGCGCCCTCTGGAATCTTGAATTGTTGTTGTCAAGGACGATTGATTTTTAAAGTCGTATTCTAGAGTGAAAGATTGAAAAATATTTTTTCATTTTTAATTGGTTTTCCTATATTGGTTTTTTTAGTTTTTGATATATTTACAAAACAAGGAATTGTTTTTTACAGTGACTCCTAGTTTTCAGCTTTAAATGCATAGACATTTTTATCGTTTTTAGATTATGATTTTCTTTTTATTGCTTTTCGCCAATTTATTATTGTTTTAGCCATACGAATGGAAGAAGTTTTTTATGAAAAACTGGATTTACGTAAGGAAGGAAATAGGTTAAGCAACCTGGAACACTTGGGTCAAGCAATGAGTGATGCAGGACATGAATTTGGCGCAGGAACTCCTTATGGTACGGATTTTCACATTCTTTGATGAGCTTCTTTAGTACTGAAACCAGCTACTACTCTTTTTGTTAAAATCTATTTTTCTTGGAACTCTAGAGGCAAAGTATTTGTTAAGGCAATGCTTTAATCAAGATTGCGGAAGTTGAATATAAAATCGGGGCTGGAGAAAGAGATTTTGTTCGAAATTGTGCTCACAATACTTTGTTGCCCATCCGCCGCTTTCTTGAGGGTGATATGAAGACGATACAGGTGATTTTTAATTTCAACACATGAACCACATTAACAGAATTTGTTCTTTTTAATAATTTCTCTATTTCAGCGAGAAAGGAAAGTCTTGAATACAAAACGCCTTGACTTGGATGCTGCTAAAAGCAGGTTGAGGAAAGCAAAAACTTTGGAGTCACAGAGCAATGTAAGACCAAAAGAACTAACGGTTTTTACGAATAGCTTTATTGGTTTTAACAACATTTAGCCTAATCTTTATTCCAATTGAATTTTGTGAGTATTTTTGCTGGGATTTTGAAATTTCTGCGGATTTTTATGCATTTGATTTTATTTTTTAGATGTTTTTCAAAGAGACCATTTTTAAGTTTTTTGTTGACTTATTCTTTTATAGCCGCCAGCGAATGCGTCTGTCACTATAGAACAGGTTGATAATGTTATTAGATGGATTGATGTATTGTGTTTTGTGTTTGTCGTATTGTTTACTTGTGCAGATTATTTTTTGCATGGTGTTTTAGTTTGTTTTTTAGAGGATGACACTTTTCTAAATTTAATTTTTTTTTTCAGGCTGAAGCCGACTTGCGTATTGCTCAAGCAGAGTTCGACAAACAAGCGGAAATCACGAAATTGTTGCTTGAAGGCATACAAACTGCACATGTGGGTATAACATTCCATATTTATTGATGGGATTAAAAGTTTCTTTCGGGAATAACTTATTGACAAATAAAGATCCTTCAGAATAATCAACTAAGGTGTCTACGCGATTTTGTTGAAGCTCAAATGTCCTTCTATGCACAAGCACATCTTCATATGGCAGATTTACAGAGGGAATTATTTGGGTCTGATCATTTTCGTATCTTTTTATTTGGCCTGTTTCGTTTTACCCTGTAGTCTTTTTGGTTTAGAAAAAAAAATGCGGTATGCTATTTTTGAGAACTTTTCAGGACATTATCTGGTGATACCGGGATTGGTATGTATGGTGGCCGAAATGCAGAAACTTTCCCTTCTGTCAATCGTTCTGGTCAGAAGGAAGTGGTTTCAGGGCAGAAAGATGGGAATAACATATCATAGTCATTTTTGAGGTCGTTAATGTGTTTTTTTACTCGAAGCGTAAATAGCTTTGGTTTACTATTTCACCACTGACAGGTGCTATGGAGCTTATTATTAGAAAACTTCAAAAATTATGAGTTTTTGAAAGGCCTTCGAGCTCCGCTTATTTATTTAGTCTTTGAGTATTAATTTCACGGGATCAGTAAGATTTTTTGAAATTTTTTTTTAATCTTTTTGACAAGCATTTCTCAGTTTTGACTTTTCCACTCATAATAAGTAATAATTTTTGTGGAAGTCTTCCCCTAGCTATTTTAAAGCTTTTTCTCGTCAAGTTTTTTTTTCACTCAAATAGCGAATTTCATAATACGCTTCTTACGCTATTAATGTTATCATTTCCGGGAAGAGTTTGAAAGGCACTATGCAGTGTAACCAGTATAAATTAGAATGGTTCTTTAAAAAAATTGCAGGAATTTTTTTAAAGAATTTATGCGTAGTTGTCTTTTGTCAAGTTTTTCCTATATTTTGGCTCTTCCTCTGTTATGAAGTGCCTTTTACTACACTTTATATTATGCGTTATGAGTGGAATGTTGTAGCCGATACAACTTTCTTTGTCAATATATGCGATCTACTTCATCATTTTTTATCTTTGCTGACACTAATTTATTTTACTTGACAGGCCTTTTTTTCTTGCTAATTGCGAACTCCACTTTAATATTTATTTTAATTTCTTGTTTAGATATTTTTTGCTTGTTCAGGAATCTGTTTGCTGTGGAATTCTGGGAGGGCAGTATTTTGCAGGTTTATCATATAGGCTTTTAGCAGAAGATATATTAAAGGTAATAATTATAAGTTCTATTCTTGAGTTTCAATTGATAATTCAGAATTTATGAATTTTTAGGTTTGAAATGTTGGTTTTCAGTTTTTTATTCAAACACAAGTGTGGTGATTGTTGTTTTTGAATCTTTATGTACCAGAAACTTTGCTTTCAAATTGTTTAGGAGTATATCCCCGTCCACTTGTTGGCGTGTTTTATTTTAAAAATTCTCCAGTTTTTGTAGGTTTTTAGATCCCCATGTGTTTTCTTTACACAAAAATCTTTTGTTTCTTAGAACTTGGACGGTTTTACTAATTTTATTTTTACTTTTTTTTTTTTATTTTGGAGATGTGAAGAAGAAGCTTGGATTTTAGGTTTACCAATTTGTACATATTACGCTTTTAAACTGATGTAGTATTTATTCGCTTATTGTTTTCCGGTTGTCTACTTTAATATATCCGCCACAGTCTGTGTTCATTGCCGTTCAGAAGAATCGACTTTAGTTTATAAAGTTCATGCTAAACTGCCTTGCAGTATTTTAATTTTGTACTATCTTTGACTTTATCGGTTAAAATCGAAAGTGTATCTCTTGCATTTCTAACTTCTGCTAATGCATTAAAACTAAAAGAATCACTGTACTACACTTATCTAATTTTTTTCTGGAAAGAAGGAGTAGAAAGCCATTTGCCGTTTTCACACTTGTTGGCTTTCTTAGAAAACTGAAATCTATCTGGGACTGTTTCAGGTGAGTTGAACAATTCTAATTTTTCTGTTTATTGTCTGCGCAAAAGTATAGTTTTGATTTCTTGGTTGTTGAAGTCGTACGTCTGGAGTAGAGAGCGAGGAGGTCCAGAACTGTTTCGTTAAGAGGTTTCTGTCGGGAGAGTAGACTGTCGTTCATAGACGGTATCTTGTTCACTTGAGCTAATATGGGGAAATTTGTGGCCTGATTTAAAGGAGGCGTGTGGTACTGCAATCGTATGCTGAAATTTGATGAATATAATTCAGTTTATTTCTTTATTTTTTCTCTGTTTGAGCTTTGTTGTAAAAACGTCGCCTCAATTACAGTGTCTGGGACGTTAAAGTATCTGCTGTAAACAGATCAAACATTCCATTTTTTTTCGCATTTTTTAATTTTTTACTAAAAGTGCTGTTGGAGGATGGAAATCCAATTAAATTCGTCAGAAAAGGTCATGTCTTTAAGACGGTTGTTTTTAGATGATCGTTAGGGAACTTTACTGTTTTGAGACATCTGCTATTTTATACGGGGAGAAGAAAGTAGAAGAGGATTTACCTGCAGTAACTGAGAGTCTTCCCATCGGTCTTGAAGTATGGATTTTTGTTTCAAAGTCGATATAGGCTCTGCGACTTTATGAATGAAGTTGTCAAGGTTTTGTTGGTCACTGGAAAATTTGTACTCAGCTGTTGATGGAGTATTGCAGGCACAAAGACATTGGCCATTGATTATTGTACCTAAATTTGACAAATTTGGCAAGATATTCTGGTGTAGTATGAATATATGTAACGTTTCCATTTATATCAAGTGAAAATACATGAGACCAAAAGTATGTTTTATTGCAGCAACCTGGAGTTATTTGTGTAGTGAGGAAGTTGCTACTGTAGTTTGGGGGTGCATCATAAGTTTTCGCTGTTAGTGTTTCGTCGTATTGCTTGAGTTGTGTAGATTCGCTGTGAGCGTCTGATAACGGAGAGTGAGGAACAGCTGAAAGCATTACCTTATGCACTTCTAGCATTATTGGTGGTCACAAGACTTTTAGAGAGCTCCCCACGATTTCTTGCTGTTTGTGAAAGTACATAGTTGCCGTTGAAATAATTGGAAAATTTTATAAAAATAGAA